GATAAAGGAGATGGTCATAGACTTCAGGAGGAAGTCATCCCCTACAACACTGGTGAACATCCAGGGAAAAGACATTGAGATAGTGGACTCATACAAGTACCCGGGTGTTAACCTCAACAATAAACTGGACTGGACTACAAATACAGTACAGACAGCCTGTATAAAAAGGGCCAGAGTCGACTCCATCTGCTGAGGAGACTGAGGTCCTTTGCAGTACTCTGTTAAGGACATTTTATGACACTGTGGTAGTATCCACCTTTTTCTACGCAGTGGCATGCTGGGGGAGTGGATGCACAAACAGGGACAGGAGGAGAAGGATTGGCAAACTGGTGCAGAGCTCTAGCTGTGTGCTGGGATGTCCTCTGGAGTCTGTGGAGGTGATGGGCGGGAGGAGGATGTTAGTAAAGGTGACATCCATCATGAACAACCCACATCACCCTCTGCATGAGTCTGGGAGTGCGCTGAGCAGCTCCTTTAGTCAGAGACTGAAACACCGTCACTGCAGGAAGGAGCGCTTTCGCAGATCATTCATCCCAACAGCAGTTAGACTCTATAACTCCTCCTCATGATGTCATGAGTCACTTGGACATTGTGGTCATCCATTGGTCATCCACGGTTACCATCTCATGCATAATGCATCTTATATATGTATGAACGTGTGCATGTATTTGTGTATGTATATGTATAAATGTACAGTCAAGTCCATAAATATTGGGACATCGACACAATTCTAAAATTTTTGGCTCTATACACCATTACAATGGATTTCAAATGAAACAAACAAGATGTGCTTTAACTGCATACTGTCAGCTTTTATTTGAGGGTATTTACAGCGTGCGATCGTGGCTCAAGAGTTGGGCGTTCGCCTTGTAATCGGAAGGTTTGCCGGTTCGAGCCCTGGCTTGGACAGTCTTGGTCGTTGTGTCCTTGGGCAAGACACCTCACCCGTTGCCTACTGGTGGTGGTCAGAGGGCCCGGTGGCGCCAGTGTCCGGCAGCCTCGCCTCTGTCAGTGCGCCCCAGGGCAGCTGTGGCTACAACGTAGCTTGCCATCACCAGTGTGTGAATGGGTGGATGACTGGATATGTGAAGCGCTTTGGGGTCCTTAGGGACTAGTAAAGCGCTATATAAATACAGGCCATTTACCATTTACCATCCAAATCAGGTTAACGGTGTAGGAATTACAACAGTTTGCATATGTGTCTCCCATTTGTTAAGGGACAACTGGCTTCTCAGCTGTTCCATGGCCATGTGTGTGTTATTCCCTTATTATCCCAATTACAATGAGCAGATAAAAGGTCCAGAGCTCATTTCAAGTGAGCTATTTGCATTTGGAATCTTTTGCTGTCAACTGCCAAGATGAGATCCAAAGAGCTATCAGTGAAGTAAGCCATCATTAGGCTGAAAAAACAAAATGCATCAGAGAGATAGCAAAAAGATCAGGCCAAAACAACTGTTTGGAACATTCTCAAAAAGAAGGGAATGCACCAGTGAGCTCAGCAACACCAAAAGACCCGGAAGACCATGGAAAACAACTGTGGTGGATGACCGAAGAATCCATTCCCTGGTGAGGAAAACACCCCTCACAACAGTTGGCCTGATCAAGAACACTCTTCAAGAGGAAAGTGTATGTGTGTCAAAGTCAACAATCAAGAGAAGACTCCAGCAGTATGAACACAGAGCGTTCACCACAAGATGTAAACTTTTGGTGAGCCCCAAAACAGGAAGGCCAGATTAGAGTTTGACAAACGACATCTAAAAAAGCCGTCACAGTTCTGGAACAACATCCTATGGACAGATGAGACAAAATCAACTTGTACCAGAGTGATGGGAAGAGAAGAGTATGGAGAAGGAAAGGAACTGCTGATGATCCTAAGCATACCACCTCATCAGTGAAGCATGGTGGTGGAAGTGTCATGGCGTGGGCATGTATGGCTGCCAGTGGAAGTGGTTCTCTTGTATTTATTGATGATGTGACTGCTGACAAATGCAGCACGATGAATTCTGAAGTGTTCCGGGCAATATTTTCTGCTCATATTCAGCCAAATGCTTCAGAACTCATTGGACGGCGCTTCACAGTGCAGATGGACAGTGACCCAAAGCATACTGCAAAAGCAACCAAAGAGTTTTTGAAGGGAAAGAAGTGGACTGCTTTGCAATGGCCAAGTCAATCACCTGACCTGAATCCGATTGAGCATGCATTTCACTTGCTGAAGACAAAACTGAAGGGAAAATGCCCCAAGAACAAGCAGGAACTGAAGTAGAGGCCTGGCAGAGCATCACTAGGGATGAAACCCAGCGTCTGGTGATGTCTATGTGTTCCAGACTTCAGGCTATAATTGACTGCAAAGAATTTGCAACCAAGTATTAAAAAGTGAAAGTTTGATTTACGGTTCTTATTCTGTCCCATTACTTTTGGTCCCTTAACAAGTGGGAGACACATATGCAAAATGCCAAATTCCTACACAGTTCACCTGATGTGGATGTAAATACCCTCAAATAAAAGCTGACAGTCTGCAGTTAAAGCACATCTTGTTCATTTCATTTGAAATCCATTGTGGTGGTGTATAGAGCCAAAAATGTTAGAATTGTGTTGATGTCCCAATATTTATGGACCTGACTGTATATTTAGTGTGTATGGATGTATGTGTATTTGTATTTCTTAACTTTATATTCTTGGTATACTCTTTGCATTCGTCTGCTATTGGTACCTGAGCTGTGGTAATGCAAATTTCCACACCGTGGGATCAATAAAGTCTTATCTTATCTGATTTTTTTAAAGTTTTAAATTAGCTTTGCAACTTTTTGAATAAAATTTCTGACTTTGCTCTCATACGTTTTTGGGCTTTTCTTGTATTTTATCTTATTGACAGTTTTTCCTTATACATTTTTCATTTTGTCCTTCTTTGCCCCTTATTTTGTCCTTCGTAGCCTCTAAGAGTCAAATAAGATAACCTTTATTAGTCCCACACATGGGAAAATACAGTGTTGTCAGAAAAAGAGAATTGCACTTAGTGTTATTGCACATGGGTGGATGTTTGGTCAGCTGCAAAGTCTTTGTTGTGGAGTCTGACAGCAGTAGCAAGGAAAGTCCATGTTACTACAGAAACCTTTCAAAAGCAGAATGTTTAATAAGCACGATTTTACGCTTTACGTACGTTTTATTCCAAGAAATCTGCAACTTTTTCCTTGTTTTCCCCAGTTTTAGTAAATTTGCCATTTTTCCTAGTAAATGTGTGACTTTGTATTGTAATTCTGTCTTTGTTAATTCCATCCATCCATCTTATTCCGCTTTATCCAGGGCCGGGTCGCGGGGGCAGCAGCCTAAGCAGAGAAACCCGGACCTCCCTCTCCCCAGCCACCTCCTCTAGCTTATCCGGGGGGACTCGGCCAGCCGAGAGATATCTCTCCAGCGTGTCCTGGATCTGCCCCCAGGGCCTTCTCCCTAATTTGTTCATTTATTTTCTAAATTTTTGTTCTAAATTTTGGTAACCTTTTCCATTTTTTCTTTGTAAATATTTAATTTAAAAATTTCGTTCTAAATTTGCAAAAAAATGTTTTTGTTCTCCTCAGAAATTTGAGAGCTTTTTCTTGTACATTTCCAAATTTTGTTCTAGGAAATTTGACATTTTTCCCCATAAATTGATCGACTTGCCCTTGTTTGCTCCTCACTTTGTCCTTCGGAGCCGTTGATACCCCGTCTTAGTACAGAAGCTCTTCAAAAGCAGCCTTCAGGTGTGGCTTTTTTAACTTAGTGCGCGCATCAATAAATGTGACGTAATTCCACGGTGGGCGGAGTTTACGTCCAGGCACCATGGCTTCGGTTGGGACCGAGGTGAGTGTGTGAGCTTTTTCTGCGCCAAGCTTGTTTTCCTTTTGCCCTGTTTTCCGCTCCACGGAAAATATGTTTTGTCCCGACCGGTGGACCAGCCCCCTGTGAGCGGCCGAGCCGCCGGTGTCGAACTGTCGGTTCGCGTCAAATTGGCCGCTGCCAGCCTTGGAGTCTTTTGCTTTTGTGCTGGACCGGAGGGCAACTGAATGTGCAGGAAGATGCTGCGCCCCGGAAAATGAATACTCTGTGCAGGCACGTTGTTCGCTTTTTGCCGGGGTCTGATTATACATGGTCCCGGGTTGTGTCACTGTCCTGCCTGTGTCCAGCTTTAGCGGTTCAAAATAAACCACATACACACCTTAAACTTGCATTTTTAGCCAATATTCTCAAAGTTCTTGCTGCACTGTTTGTCTCCGGCTCACTGGTGGCTAATTTGTACACTGTTTTGTAGCTAGCTGTTAGCAGCGATGCTAGCTAACAACAGAATGCTCACTTTTAAATTACTAAAAAAAACCCGGATTCCAGCGATTGTCCTCTTTACACCGATCGGTCTCGATTTATTCCCCAACAGTGCGGTTAAACGCTCGACTGATAATGCTATCTCCACGGTGGTGTGCTGTAACTGATGCAGTCAAATGAAGCCAGCACTGGCAGAGCTGCAACAGCCTCCCATTGCATACATATGGCGCCAGATCCGGATTCACCTTTTCACTCATTATTTCTCTTTTTTAACCTTTCAATTATGATTTGAATTATTCGTCGATTGAAGGCTGATCTGTGTTGGATATTGTCACGGCTCTCAGTGTTGCTGACTGTTTTGTAGGTGCATTGATTTGATTTGCTTTTACAGCAAGGTTTTAATGGTGAAGATGGATCATTTCAGCTGATCGGCATGTGCAAAGCTGCCACAGCTTCAGTCTCTGGTGCTTCATTTCTTTTTAGTAGATATGGCAAATATGGTATGCTTGCTTTGTTCGGCAGAGGTCGCTCCAACAGTGCTGAGAGTATCTCGGGGTGTAGCAGAGAAAGGTGTAGGACATTGAGCTGTTGAGCTACTTCCGTTTACGCTCATATCTGGTGTGTGAGTGTGTTTGTTATTTGATGCATTTGCCCTCAATGGGCCACTTCACCTGTTTTAAAAAGGAGAAAATGAGGAAATATGCGTGCCAATCTCATGGTTTTAAGCTGATAATTTCAGGCACCATGTTGGAGTACAGTCGGTGGAATTGGAAGGCTTTATTTTTCATGTGATAGAAATGATATGAATGAAATGTTGGACCTTTCATTTTAAAAATTAAAAGACACATTGGTTATCAGATTGGTTATTAACAGGCAACCTGAGTGAATGTTTGAATAAATGAATGCTAAAAGGTAAATCCCTGAAAAAATATATTTCTTCTACTTCACCCCCTCAGAACCAAAGTAAATCAATTTTACACCCACTTCAATAGTCACAATCTAAACCCAGAATTGTGTTTTTATCACCAACTTTAAGCATTATCCCTGTTTGAGTTTCAAACCTGCTCCAGTTTATTGTGGGACTTTAATTTACATGTTTGTGAGACCAACAGGGTCTGTGTGGTTCCCTGTGATATAAATTTTATCATCAGATGGTGAGTGTAGTGTGAGGGTTCGTGCAAATGGCTAGCTTTTTGTTTTTGTTTGTTTTTTGCAACCACATGCACTTGTCCACAAATTTACATGATGGACCATAAACTACACATACGGTCCAAGCAGTAGACTTTAGGTGGACTTAGAGCTGGGCGATATGA